CAACTGACTTCCAGCTAGTGAAAACAAATGCAAAAGAAAAAAAAAATTGACTCCAAGTAGCCTTATTTCTACTACAGCCTTTCAAAAGGCTGAACAAATGAGCTTCTCTACCATTTGGCAATACCAAAAAGTAAGATCACCAATTTTCTGGCAACACATAATTAATGATGCAATTTTCAATGGTGATTGAAAACACTTTCCACAAGCAAATTGGAAATCAGAGAAAATATATATATATATATTTGCTATGGTTTTTCTTTTTAAATGTGTTAATTCTATTTTTGATACTACTTTATGTTCTTTATTCCCTCTTAAGATTAATAGACCCGGCTCCCGTCGTAATGACCTATTTATGACCTTTAACAGAGTCAGTTGCACTAAAAATGGTTTTATTCATCGTCATGCCCACTTTTTTAATAACCTTTCTCTCAAATTTAATCGATATTTTTCACCAGAGCCTTAGTTCGTTCAAAACCAGCTTAGCACAATCTTTACTTCATGATACCAAGTGACTTATATTCTGGGTGGGTTAATTCCTTTTTTCCTTTGCCCCTTGGTCTTTTTCTTTGTTTTTGATTGTTTTGTCTTGTGTGTGTGCTTTCTTTTTTTTCTCACCTTTGTTCTGTGTTCTGTCTGTATTTTTATATGTTTTTTCCTTTCTGTTTTGTCTGGCTATGTTTTTGATTGCTCTGTTCTGTCTGTGTGTTTCTGTTGGACCTGTGTTCTGTCTGTATTTGTATGTTCACTTATATTTATTTGTATTTTTATCTGTATATTTTATCTGCAATTTTTAGCTTAAGATGTTCCTCTTGCAATATTTTGTAAATTTTATCAATTACATTTCATAATGCAATTTAATTAATTAATTATTTACTTGTTTTGCATTTATATGTTTTTATATATATTTTTTGTATTTTTCTGTATTTTTTTGTATCTGCAATTTTTAGTCTTAGATGTTCTTCGCAATATTTTTTGTAAATTTTTTTTATGTTTATAATATGTACTGTACAGTATCCTATTTAAGACATCCTGTAATTGGCTTTTTGCTGTTGGATGATGTTGGAAATAAAATTAAAATAAATAAATTAAAAAAACCACACAGGACAATAACCACCCAAACAAAAACCACCCAAAATGGAATATACCATTGTTAAAGTGGGGTGGGCAGTGGGGTGGACAATGTTGGGTGGGCCTGTTTTTATCAGCTTTACAATAGGATAGTTTACACTGTGACTTGCTATTGTATGCCTTAAATTCATTCAACTGTTTTGACAACATTCTTGTATGTTAATAATCATTGTAGATTTCAGTAATCACTGTGCTTAAAGTTTCCCCTTTTTAATAATTTTAACACAACAGTTAACTTCAATGCTTTATGGAAATATTTTTTATTAAAATTCTAAATTTATTTAAATCTAAAAGGACCTTGTTCCTACTTCCTTAAAAAATTATTTTCAATTAAATAGTTCCCTTTAATAATAGTAATAATTTAAATGTAAAAAGTCATATCCATTAATGAATGTAAGTTAATAAGATTCTACTATTTTATCTTTATATCTGTTTTCATTTAATTGTAGTAAAACAGAATATTTCTATGATAGTGAATATAATAAAATTAAAACAGACTATTTTACTGAACAGCTTATTCATTTATTAACAAAATTAAGTACTCCATTACTTTAATAGAGTTCACATAAAATATTTACATTTACTTAAATTCTGGTGTTTTATAGTATTTGTCTAATATTTAATATTGTAAATTTATTTAAGTTTATAAAAGGACTTCTTCTTACTTCCTTTTAAAATAATTTTCAATTAAATAGTTTCCTTTAATAATAATAATTTGAATGTAAAAAGTCGATTCATTATTGAATGCAAGGTAATAAGCTCTTATGATTATATCTTTTATCTGTTTTGATTGAATTATCACTACTGTATAACTAAGCGCCTCGAGGTTGTGTCAACGTGAGGCGCTATATAAATCCAGAATTATTATTATAATTAATATTTCTTCTTGTGTTAATGAGTTATAAATAGACATGTATCTAGTAGTAACCAATTTATTTCCGTAATAGTGAGTACAATCTATTTAAATACTCCATTACAAATAGAGTACATTTATGCTACATTTACTTATTTAAATTAAAGATTACAATTATACTGCATGTAATCATACAAAACATATTTACTTTAATATAGCGTCTTAAACTAGAACTACATACATTCACCATACAATTATAGATAAACTGGTACCGTATATTTATATTACTTTTTAAAATTTTTCAACCTATGAATATTAGTTGCCATTTAATTCCTTATTTCATTCCATTTTTCCAATCCAATATTTTTTTTTTCCAATCAAACTCCTTTTCAACAATTGAAAATCTTCAAAATTGTATTATTGCCATTCAGAAATGGATAACAAACAACATGCTATAATTTAACCCATGTAAAACTGAATTCATCGTTTTTCCTTCTAAATTCAAACCAAAGCTGCAATTTCCATTTCTGTATAAATAGTAAAACCATCAATCTAGTTTCATCCATTTGAAGTCTTGGTGTTTTCCTTGATATTAAGAAGATGAGGAATCATATCAAAAGCAGAAATAATATTATAACTAAGAAGGTCTTTCAAAACGGTCCGGAAAAAAAATAAATGAGATTATATTTTGTATTATATCATCAATTTTATTCATCATTATTATTATTAAACGGAACTGTGTAATTGAAAGTAATTTCTTGATTTTTTCTCATGCTTGACTACCTCATTTTGTGGTACACGATTTAGATGCTACCACCAGCATCTACCAGTACATTTATTTTTTTATTACTTCACCACCCGTAGATAATTTTAACTTTATCGATGCAACAGACCTGAAAATTCTCAAGCTAGAATAAATATGTCATGAAAAAAATTTTAAATGTCACATGTTTTGTCAATGGATGGCAGAAAAGTATAGCATGACACAAGTTTTGTTGTTTCTAGCAAGATATATTGTTCTGATTAAAGAAAGCCTCTAAAACAATATTTAGTGCCTCCTCCCTTAAAAAAAATTAACTACGGTAACCCATGTCCAATCTGCAATAATACGGGAACGGTTGATATTGCAGAAATATTTGACACACATCTGGAATAAAGTTAAAATGTTGATTAATTGTCACAACCATTTTGCCATCCATATAGTTTAAACAGTTTTTGAAGGACGTTTTATGGGAAAACCGCAAAGTTTAGAAAACATATTGGTTTTCTAGACTACCGGAAAGATGGAATCACCAAATGTTAAAAAGATGAGCACAAAACTGTTTGGATAAATGCCTGAGGACCTGCCAACTGGAGGCAGAGCACCATAAATGCCTGAAAGCACTGCAACGCTTCTAAAATGTTTGGAGGCTTCAGTGCGGCGCGCATTCAAGAGCGGCGCTTATAAAAATATATTGGCATGGCGCTTTACATGCCCGTTCCTATGTTACATTTTACGCCTGTAATTCAGTAGGCCCATCAAACGTCCTTTCATCGTAAACAAACGTTTATAAAGAAATACTTGTGTCTTGTTATTTATAAAATCTATTTTATAATTGTGCTTTATATATTTTACATGTATTACTGTATTTGTTTTGTTTTACTGTATGTTTTGTATTTGTTATGAGGGCCTCTTTGAGTCAGCATCGCTGTAATAGCAACCCTCATAAAAGAAAGTTGAATAAATAAATAAATTCATTTTAACACTATATAGTATTTAAAACCCTGTTTCATTACACACAGGGTAATACCCTCTGTTAAGAGCCAGGGCGCTTAACGATAAAAATTTAGAGCGGTGCTTATTCAAGCATTTACAGTAAGTAAGTATATTTGATATTCAAGATGGTCGCCATTTACGATTTGCAAGAAAGTCACCATTGGACAGGTTGAAATTGAAAACATAGGGTTTGCTACTGAAATCAATTTGATAAATGTTCTAAGTTAATATTGTTAATTTTACTGTGAAAATGGTAGCCCTTTTGAAATTCAAGACTTAGCCGCCATTTGTGATCCATGAGAATATCACCATTAGACATTAGACATAGCGCTTGGTGTCAAATTCATTTGAATACCTGCTCTAATTGCTCAGTTATGCCTGTGGTTATTTTTATTGTGAAAATGGCAGCAAAATTTAAAATTTCTAAATCGCCGCCAAGGTAATCACGGAAAAAATGGACCCTAGCGTTTTTGGATTTGGCATACCCAAAATAATTACATACAGAAAAAACAATAAAATTGCTTTGAGCAATTTTTTTTCGCAAACCTTGTTTTTTATGACATTAGGTTTCCACTAGATGGTTGTGGTGACCAGATGCTCAGTGATCAAATACATGCGCTTGTGCATGTGTGCATGTATGAGAATTGTCTACTAGTACTAGAACGCGCACTGACACTCTTCGTAGTTCTGATCATGATATGATACGATTGATTTGATTGAAGTTTATTAGGTGTTGTTAGGTAGGCCAAACCTAGTAGAGGTTTGTTAAATATATTTAAATATATATGTCACATTAGTGATTTCAATGTCAATCACCTTGTTATCTCATAGCTATGGGCGTTTTTGTGCATTCGTGTTCCAGCACCGCAGAGCAATTTTTTGGGGTTCCCTGTGTGCTTTCAGAGATGGCCTGGCAACGAAATATTCATTGCGGTATCGCGATGTAAAACAATCCCAGCTCTTTGCACACTAGACGCAAAAATAGCTAGAACTATATAGATTTAGTGCTTGCTTAGGGATATAAAAATAACGTGTAAACGAAAATGATGATGTCACAGCTGACATAAAAATTATATGTGTGTGCATTTTTGTGACTATGTAAATCCACCTCATTTGGCCAGTCAGTGATTCGCAGTTTGCTTGGGATACTTAACAGAGGGGAAAAAGCAGTTTTCAGATTTGAGCAGGCTCATAAGTGTTTATGAGTATTAACTTGTTTATGTTTAGATTAGTTCATTTAGGCCAATACCTATTTTCTTGCAGTATGGCTGGACCTCCGTGATGACTGCAGCTCATTTCAACAAATATGACATTGTTAAACTGCTTGTAAGAGACGGTGCTAACAGTGATGTGCAGAATTTAGTAAGTTGCAATAATTAAACATGCGGGAAAATATATACAAATGCATGGGTTAGTTATTGCTTTTTTTTAGCAATAGACGGTATTATCATTCACATAAACAGATTATGTTAACTACATTGGATGTATCGTTTCCCTAAAGTGAAGAAAAATTAAAGGGCCTGGAATCGACTTGCACATAATTTCTGATATAGAATGTTTGTTATAATGCTGACATTTGTGTTCTACATTCTATGTAATTTATGAACCTTTTTGAGACATGTACAACTTATACAGTAATGATAAATCTGTATTGTATTAAAATATCATATATATTCATAATGTAAATACATTTTAATTTTGTGTTTGGTGTGTATTTTTTATATATGTCTGTGTATAATGTGTTTGGAAGTTTTTCTAAATAATATGAAAAATTACATCGTAAACTTTTGAAAGCTCCATAAAAACACTGGCGAGAAATGTATTTTATTCGAAAGATGAAAAGATAGCGTTAACAAGCTCAAGGACGGTGTGCGAGGTGGAGTGTTGCATGGAATCCGTATTGGGTCATTCCGGTTTAAATCAGCCAGAAATTAAAAAGTTCTCCTGTAACACCTTTTGAATTTTCCTTTTACCATGGTATGGTAAAATACCATGGTATGTCATACGAAAAATCTAAAATTTCAGCTTCAGTTTGCAAGTGGTTTTTAAGTTATGTACCACGCCCCCTTTTTTATTCTAGTAATGGCTCCTTTAACACAAGCTACCCCCAACAATGCTTCTTCCTCATTCATAATTGTTGCGGGGTCGCTTGTGCTGTGCGCCAGGGCCGACTGTTCCATTTTGTTTTTGAGGGGTGTTCTCATATTTGAGAAAGAATAGGCAGTTAGTCAGTTTATCCAGGTAAGTATCCACTCATAGACTACCAACATAATAAATAATAAGATCTTTCTTTTACAACGGAAGCTCATTCACTAAGGAGGTGTTCTTCCACGAGGCCGTATATAACACTTAACATATGGTATCAGATCATGAAATCAAACAAGAACTATTTACAAATATAAATAATGGATCACATCACTACTGATTTGTGTAATTGCATATATAGGGGTTTCTTTGTTTACCAATGGAATTTTTAACTTGATTCAATATTTAAGTGTCCAAAAATATGATCTAAATGCCTAAGTAAGTGGTTTCATTATATTATAGTCCTTATTTTGTTTATATTTTATTTCTTTTTCTGTCATCAATTTGTGAATATCAAGAATTATATTGCAATGTATGAAAGCAGGCCATGCGTTTTTAATTTTATGATCATATATACATTTTTTTCCCTTGCAAATCATACCACTGATGTGTGTTTTTGTAATTTACATTCTACATACTTTTACTATTTTAAGAATGGAGACACAGCATTACATGTAGCTGCTTACTGGGGATATTCATCAGTGGTTAAACTACTATTAGACACAGGGGCATCAATTCTCCTTTCAAAGGTAGGGTATCCAAACTTCGAAACATATTTCAGATAAAAGAAAGTCTGAAAACATTTTAGTATTAAGGACATTGTTGTGTCATAATTGTATTTTTTTTAAATAGCTTTAGAATCTAGGAATATAATACATTGTACAGTTGGTTGGTTTGAACTGATTTGGTTGCTTCTTAATAGACCGGTTTGGTTAAAGTTGACTTGATGCATATTCAATAAAAGAAGTAATATATCTCCAGTGTAACTAACAAAAGTATTAACAATGTAACATACTTATTGTATTGTACCATATTAATTTACTATTTTTGTCTCTAACCACAAAAAGTCGTCTTTGTTATTAATGAAGATAGAAGATTGCAAACCCACCATCATTATGTCAATTCTTATTATTAATACACTCTATTATGTTCTATAATCAACACTGTCAGAAAGGTAACACGCCTCTGCATGCCTGCTTCCTGAATCAAAATTTAAGTTATGATCATCACAGAAACGTTACTGTAGCATTTATGATGACTCATTCAAACATAGTATCCATCAAAAACAGTGTAAGTATGCCATCAAGGTGTATGTTTTACTTCAAACTTAAGCCCTTCCGTGAAAGCATATTTTCCAGATACCTGTCTAAGGATATATTTGTTACATCTTTTTCTGTACCCTTAACTAGTAATTTATTTATTACCAATAATAATTTTTTTTTCTTTATTTGGAATAATAAAACAATGTCTTTTAACACAAAACTCTAAGTGTAATATCAGGTTTTTGTCATTGCTTTTTTATGAATGTGATCGGAGAGTCTGTTTTTATTTCTGATGAGAACAATTTGTTATCTTGTCATTGAAATTATATCATGAGTCATGTTCAAATATTGTATATAGTAGTCAATCTGCACGCTGCAATGTTTAAGATATATTGGTATTGTTTGCATTATGAAACAAATTATGTTTATTATACTATGTACAGAAGTAACATAAATATTGGCTGAGTATTTTTAGTAATTTTGCCGTCAGTGGTATTCCTGCTATAAATTTTGTGTTATGGTATAATTGTTTTCTTTCTTTTTCTGGAAGTTATATAATTAAAATATATTAGAATAGAAATATTGGTATGCTATACTATTTTGGTGACAAAATTGTTTAAAACTGTAAAATTATTCATGTAATCAAACTACTTCCACATTTACCTATGTATTCAGATAAGATTTGTTTGTAGTTTCTCTGACGGGAATTACAACTGCAACCTCTCAATGACTGACTTACTTTTATACAAATGACTGAAATGCTCACACAGAGTGGGGTTATGGTTAAGCAAGAAAGGCTTATAGTTTGCAGTTTGGAAATCAAAGTAAATGATATTAAAATGTTTATATAAATTTATGTATTTTAAAGGATGGCAAAACTGTAATTGACTTGCATGAAGAAAGTGAGTGTAGGAGGTATGAAACAGAACATAGATGTTTACAGAAAGAAGAGTTATTACTGATATTGAAAGGTAAAAAATGTAGTTCCTTTACTTTAACTGCTATTCTGGTAATAAAAAGAACTGAATTTAAGTTAGCAGGAAAATGGAGTTTGAACAGTGGCGTAACAGGAGGGGGGGCAGCCCGCCCCTGACGGTTTTTACCGGGCTGAACTAGTTGTTGTACCGGGCTGGGTAATAAGAGAAAAGAAAGAGGGGAGGGAAAGAGAAAGAAGAGGAAGAGAAAAGGAAAGGAAAAAGGAAAGGAAAAAGGAAAAGAAAAAGGAAAAGAAAAAGAGAAGATAAAAATAAAGACAAGAATAAAAAGGAAGATATCATAATGACCAGACTCACAACACCCTGCAACCTCTTCTCCACTTAACTCCTTTGATTTAAGCTGCCAGATGACGTAGGCTAACCACCGGGGAACAAGGGGAAAATATCTATCTTTGGAAAATATTTCCCACCCCTTTAATAAATGCCCTTTTCATCCCCTGAAAGTGCCTAAAAATCTCAAATTTTGCACGCTTTGCACACATTTCTTGTCAGAGTAGGCCAATTTCCTCTAAAAATTGCACATTTTAGTTATTTTGGATCAATTCCAACGAAATTAGAATTAAAAATACAGGGGGACAAGGAGGAAATATCCATCTTTGGAAAACCTTTCTCCACCCCTTGATAAATGCCCTTTTCATCCTCTGAAAGTGCCTAAAATCCTTAGATTTGTTACGGAGGCCAATTTCCTCTATAAATTGCACATTTTAGGGAGTTTTGATTAATTCCAATGAAATTAGAATTAAAAACACAAACACTTTTTGTGCGCGGGGTAGGGTGGGTATGATATAAATTACTAACCGCGAAAATTATTACCTTTGCCCCCCCCCTGACCTAAGACCACTGTTACGCGCCTGAGTTTGAAGTACACGGACAATGGACAAACACTGTATACCCTTGTCGAAAGAAAAAAAAACAGTTCGCAACAACTTAGTTTGTTTTTCATTCAACTTGCCACCGACAAGGGTACTGTCTTTGTCTTTTGTATGTTTTTAAATTGATTGTGGTGAAATAAATGAAATGATAATGTGTGGGTAAAACGAACAGTGCTCCTACATCTCCCCTATGCTGTCTTATTTCAGTCTGTCATTTATTCATTAAATATTGTCTGTTGGCATTGGCTATTACCAAGACCGCAACCCGTCCTAGATTCAGAATTACTTCAAATGATGATGTATGTCTATTCTACAATACGATTATGTGTTTTATCTTTTTAAGGTGGGCAATTTCCAGTAATCAATTTTACACCTTCGGGTAAGAAAATTTTTGTACTATTATTATGTTTACACTGGTGCAAACATTAAAATATATTTATTTTACTTTAACAGTGTGGACTATGGTAATATACTGTTTCTCAAAAATTGTAATTGCAGTGAAAAAGAAAATGTACTTTCGGAAGTCCAGGGAGGTTTTAGATCACATCACCGATGTGAAGAACACATCTTTACATCAAAAAGTATTTTATCTTGCCTTTCAATTGAAGACAAAACTACATCTGGTCTTCCTGGATTTCTGAAAATCAGTTGATAGTGAATGGCGGGATGGTCATAAAATCCACTTCGGATGCATGCATTCGTACGAGGGAAAATTTTGAGAATCATATGTTCATTATACGATGATGTTAAAGCAAAATTAGAAGTGATAGTATGACAAATGTTTTTAATAGAGATAAATGAAGGTGTGTGTACTTTCTCCAATTTTATTTTCTATTTTTATTAAGCTGTTGGTTAAGCTTCTTCGTGAAAGTAATTTGTGCATAAAAATGAATGGTATTTGGATGGGAGGGCTTTCTTTGGCAGACGATGTTAATATTTTGATATCTAATAATGAATGGGAAATGACTGAAATGTTAACAATTGTTAAAATACAAATGACCCATTTTCTGCTCAAAGCCCCATGCTATACACCGAAAGAGGCATTTTATGGTGACCTTGGGTGGGTACCCCTATTCCCGATTTTTGGACAGAGCAAAATTGTTTAATAGATTGATAATTATGGATGATCACAGATGGCTCAGTGTTGCACTTAACTCCATGTTTCACTTAAAATTGACAATTGACATACTTGCAAAATCTACAAATTTAGACATTTATAACCATCGTATAATAAACATATGATTTATAACCATGTTTTTGATATTGATAATTCAGCTTTTACTTCTTTTTCAGTCAGCACTGTTGGGCACTATGTGTCAGAACTGTATAGATTAGAATGGTCAAATAATGTACTGCAAAAAACATCTTTATACAACATATATATTCAAAATTATAATCTTCACCCAACAAAAAATATTACTAGATAAAAAAGATTTTTATAGTGCAAGTCTGAAATTAAACTGAGTTCTAACAAACTACCTCTAGATTGCAAGCACTGTAAGCAGTCTAATAATGTATCAGATCTTTGTTAATAATGTGGAAGTGGTGAAATTGAAGATAGCAAATATTTTTTACTAAACTGTAAAGCATTCAATAAAATCAGAATATAAGAATCTACCATTCGAAAAAAGGAACTTACATTTTGTAAGAATTATGACACATGGATTTTTTACTAAACTGCCAACATTATATTAAGTTAATATATATTTTAGAGGGAGATTTTGTTGCATTAAGTAATAAATCTTGCACAGTTTTTGACAATTATTGTAAAAGGTTTACAAAAGTTAAATATTTATAAAAGCAATAACTAAGAATGAAGAAAGAATGTTCGTTCTGTAATATTTTTTCATTTGCACCAAAATTCATTGCAGATGGGGATAGTTTAAATGCATTACTGTATGTGATATGATTCTTCACTTTGTTTCTCTCTCTAAATCATTCGTTATTAGGAAGTACAGTTCCATCAATAATCCAAACTCATGGACCATCATCTGTAAAAACTTATACTGAAGCATTAGAAGACGGCATTGTTGAGGTGAACCTTGGAACGATTAAGGTGATAGGACAAGAAAGAGCGGGTAAAACCTGCCTCATAAATTCCTGCCTTGGTAAAAAGTAAGCAAATATATAATTATTAAGTATTAAAATAATAAATGAAAATGGAAGAAAATAGCAATAATCATGTTCTATATCCATTAGAAAGTATCACTGTGACCTAAAATAATAATAATGGCTTTGGCGATAACGATGATGATAACAAGAGCTCTCAATAAAGGTCACATATTCACCCCGGCACTACAGCAACTCCTTTTCTATAACATAAATCTCCAAAAAATATGTTCCAAAGAGATAAAAAGTAATAGAAAATAAGATTAATAGTAAAATTTGACGACAACCATGATGGATTTATATAGCTCAAATAAACAAGGTCTCTGTGTAATAGGTAAGAAGACAACGAAGAAATGGGAAAAGGCTGAGTAAATAAAAAAAAAAAATACAAACAAAAAAACAAACAAAAAAATGCCAGGCTACCACCGAAACCAAAGCATGGAGGTCATATCGTCACCGCCAACAGGAGATCTGTGTTTGTGTACTCCAATATTATCATCATGGATCTGTTTTTGCCTTAAAGCATAGCGTTTCTGCAAATATTGTTCCAAGTATATTAGGTATTTTGCCAGAGACAGCAGATCTTCAATACTTTCTAGATCCAACTGTTGGTCCAGTTAGCTTTGCTTAATCTTGATTTCTTTCTGGTATCAGGTGCCTCTTAACCAGGACAAAATAGAAACTCAGTGCTCACGTAGGCCTAGATTGTCCTACTTTTTACTATCAAAATGATTGAATTTACCCTCACTAGGGAAACCAATGTAAGGGAAATCAGCTTTAGGGTTACGGAAGTTGAGTCTGAGAAAGAGGCAAGGGTGAAAATGTTTAACAAATATACAAATTAGTATGGAAAGAATAAAATAATTTAATTTTGTTTGTTTTTGCTTAAAATTATGAATCAGTGTTTAATCTTTGACATTACATGATGTAATGATGAATAAAGAATATGTCTTCAGCAAATAAAAATATTCTGAAAATTTACAAGAAATCAACATTTATCAATCACATACTGCAGATTTAACCAAGATGAAGAAATTACAGATGGAATAGCAACCACTAAGATTATAACCAGGACAACCAATAAAACTGACGTATGGAGTGAAAATCTTACTAACGTTGGTAAGAAAACGAATCACAATAAGTAAATACTTATTTCCAATAATGTTCAATAAACATAATTATTATTATCGGTGTTGCCAATAAAATTCCTATTATAATTATAAAAATCATAGTCATTAGTACTATAAATTAAAAAATATAAATAAAATTTAAAGTAGGAATGTAAATTATAAAAATAAAAATAATATTATTATTACAATTGTTGAGGTTACTCTTTTTAGAATTTTAAAATAATACAAATTAAAATTTATGATTTTTTTTTAGAGCTGATACCAGAACAATTAAAATAATAAATGTTTTAGTTGAATTATTATTATTGTGACATGCTTGATGGTGTGTTCTGAGATGTATTTCGAAGACAATATATCTTAATTTTTAATGAAGTTTCATTTCATTTCATTTATTTTGTCTCAATAAAATACATAAAAAACAACAACCGGTTACAATACAACAAAATAAAAGCATAAACAATCTGAAATAGGCCGAGACAGGATTCCTAAAAGTGAACCAAATCACTATCATGTAGGTCTCCTAATGCACTATTCCGATTACACATAAAATAATAATGAGCAATTGAAATAATACTTAAAATCTGTAAAATTTGCCTTAACAATAAATATATATAGAGAAATTGTAATTGTTTAAACGCACCATTCTTGGCATTGATTTTTGCTCCTTTGCCGTTTTGGTCTATGCCTATTGCCATTTTGGTAGTTGTTATTGCCGTTTTGGTCTGTTGCCGTTTTGGTACTTATTGCCGTTTTAGTTTATTGCCGTTTTGGTCATTGCTGTTTTTGGTTTTTTGCCGTTTTGACCTGCTTCCGATCCTACAGTAGGAAAGTAGCAATTGTCGTCCGACTCTATGACCATCAGTACCTGTCATTTTGTGTATGAAATGTCTCTTATACACATCT